AATTCCTCTGATTTCCTCCCACCTGCAGGAATTTGGGAATTGCATTTCTGAAAGCTGGGAGGCAAATTACGGATCTGTTAAAAGCTGAATAACGGTACCTGAGTGTAAATATTTCACTGAGATCAAGGCCAAGCTGTGCCAGGTGTTGTGCAAACACATCCTGGGGGTTTTATTTCCTCCACAAAGTTTATAAACACAAATCCCTCGGATTTATTGATCAGCTGGGCCTGAGTGGGAAAACAAACAGCAGCAGTTTGGGTTGTTTGTTCCAWCTTCATCCCACCTGCCATCCAGGAACACTTCCAGTCCCACAGGAGAGCATCCAAGGGAYTGAAAATAAACAGAGCAGGAAATTCCAGCTTTCCAGGATGAGGAGTCACCTCCCACAGCCACAGAGAAACAATGCAGGGAGCAGTCGCTGTCAGAACCCAGTGACCTCCTGAGCTGTCCCCAGAGCAGCTCCTGAGCTGTCCCCAGAGCTCCTCCACGCTCTTTGTCCCTTCTCTTGTCTAAAAAAATGAGCTCCTCCACCCCTGGGATCCAAAATGAGTGACAAAAACCCCAGGAGTGGGTGCAGAGCCAGCGGTCACCTGAGCTCCTGTCCAAAAACAACTCCATGGGTCCCACCCGCATCACTTGGGGGGTGCAAWCCCACTCATCTTTTATTTTTATCACTCACAACTCAGAATATCGAATGGACAAATATTTCTGACGTTCCTCTCTGCTAACAGAGTATATAAATTAATGACTGATGACAAGGGTGACTTTTTTTTTTAATAGCAGAGGCCAAAATGCCAGACAAAGAGACAAAACCCAGCAAGTTCAACTCAAATGTATGAACAACCTGCAATTTGTGATCCAAATAAATGAATATTGAGTGGATAACAGAGATGAGCACCCTGTGGAGTGCAGCACAYACAGCAGAGAAGGGCTCTTGTGCTCTCAGTGGTTTCAGTCCCAGCACAGAGCTCTGGTTGTAGGCGAGGTTTGGGTTGTTTGCAGAGCACAACCTCAATTGTTAAATGGAATCAAGAGGATGACACAGCGCTGACAGCGAGCTGGCTGGCAGGGCTGGCAGGAAGCACAACCCGGTCCTGGTTACTCACTCCTCACCCCAAACTTGGCCCCGGTTCATCTCCTCACTCACCCATCCTGTTCTGCACGTTCTGTGTCACCTCTCCCTGAGCATCGAGTGTCCAGTGCCACTCCCTGCACCTTGAGCTGTCCCAAACTCGCTGACTCCCTGTCAGCCTCCCCTCCCTGAAACCGGCACAGAGCAGCACAAAGGCGGTCCCTGTGCACCTACCTGGTAAAAACAGTGAAAAAAATGACTACAGGGCGCTCAGAAAAAAAAAAAAAAAAAAAAAAAAAAAAAAAAAGAAAAAAGAATAAAARAATAAAAGGAAAAGAGAGCAACAGCACCTCCCCTCTTGTCTGATCTAGAGTATTCTCAATACGGAGATGAAAACACCCAGCCGAAATAAAATCTGGGCGCTCCCCGGAACGTCTCCACCGGGCGAGCCGCGGCTGGGCGGAGGTACCGCACGCCTGTCCCCTTTCCCCCGCCCCGTTCCCCCTTCCCTGCCCGGCTCTGGTCCTGCCCCAGGGCTCCCCGTCCGCCTCCGGGGCAGGTAAAGCGGGGCAGAGCAGCGGGGATGCGGCGGAGCATCCTCGGGGATGCGGCGGGGGGCGGGCAGGGCAGGGACGGGCAGGGCAGAGCAGGGCAGGGATGATAAAAAGCTCCGGCACCGCCTCCCCAACCCCAGCCCCAGCGGCTCCCGGGAGCGCAGAGCCGGAGCGGGGTGAGCATTTGGGGTGTTTCGGTTTGTAGGGTGCCCGCAGAACCGTGCCSAGATGGGGATGGGGTGTCCCGGTCCCCGAGGGCGGCGGCGCTTTGGGGCGGGAGGGTTGGGATCGGGGTTTTGCCGGTCGGGTTTTGGGTATCTGGAAATGCTGCTGAGGAGGAGCTCGGCAGAGCGCGGTGCTCAGGGAGGGGACAAGGTTTATTTTGTTCATTTTCGATGTTTGTAGGGTTTTCCCCCACCCTAAAGCGGGGCTTGGCCGAGCGCTTTGCTCAGGGAGGGGACAAGATTTATTTTGTTCATTTTGGTTGTTTGTGGGGTTTTTCCCCACCCTAAATGGGGGTTTTCTCCCACCCTAAATGGGGGCTCGGCCGAGCGCGATGCTCAGGGATGGGACAAGGTTTATTTCGCTCATTTTGGTTGTTTGTGGGGGTTTCCCCCACCTTAAATGGGGGCTTGGCAAAGCGCGGTGCTCAGGGATGAAACAAGGTTTATTTTGCTCATTTTGGTTGTTTGTGGGGTTTCTCCACACCCTGAATGGGGGGGATTGGCAGAGCGCGGTGCTCAGGGAGGTTACAAGGTTTATTTGGCTGGTTTTGGTTGTTTGTGGGGTTTTCCCCCACCATGTCCAGGCTTTCCACGGATGCGCTGGGATGGMCACGGGGATGGTCGGGATGACCACGGCTCGCTGAGGGGGTGCTGCCCTCCTCCCCTGTCCCTGTGTGTCCAGCAGGATGGTTCCCATCGCCCTGGAGGTGGCCGGCAGTTTTGTCACCTGGCTGTGTCTCTACAGCTGCTTCTGCCGCTGCAACCGGCGCCGCTCGAGCAAGTGGAGCTGTCGCCTGGTCACCCTCGTGCACGGGCTCCTTGTCACCTTCCTCTCKGGCTACGTCCTGTTCCTGGATGGCCCCTGGCCCCTGAGCCATGCAGGTGTGTTTGGAGTGTCCCCCCTGTGCCTCTGTCACAGCTTGGAGGGAGGGGTTGATTTTCTCTCCTCTTCCAGGCATGTGTTTGGGACAGAATTATCTTTYCCAGCCACTTCTCGCTGTTCATTCTTTCATTCTTTCATTCTTTTATTTTTATTTTTGGTTTATCCATGTACAGATTGCAAGATTTTGAGCCGGCAGCTTGAGTTTATTGCAGCATCAGGTGTAACAATGCTTTGAGAACAAAATGCTTTCACATCYTGAAGGGTGGAATAACTCCTGACCTTTGCAGGATAGGGTTTGGGGTACCTGCAGGGTTTTGTTGGCTGTTTTCTGTCACCAAATCTCAGATAATTCTGCTGATGGAGGTCTGGCTTTCCATCCCTGCTTTTCTGAAAGGCTGGAGAGAAGAAGGGAAGCAGCAGCGGGGCAGGGTGGGATGGGCCTGTGGGCAGGATGGGGTGTGAAGGGGAAGCAGAAGCAAAGATCCCAAATTCCTGGAACCTGGCCCATGGGAGAAGGCTGGAAATTTAGGAAGAAAGAGGCACTCTCACCCTGTGCTGGCTTATAAAATAAAAAAATACCGTAAATAAAACCCCATCCTTACACACATCTCCCATTCCAGGTTCACCCAACACCCCTCTGCAGATCCACGTGCTGTCCCTGACCTTGGGCTACTTCATCTTCGACCTGGGCTGGTGCCTCTATTTCCAGACCGAGGGGGACCTGATGCTGCTGCACCACACCCTGAGCATCTGYGGCATGATCCTGGTGCTGGGGCTGGGCAAATCTGCCACTGAGGTGAACGCCGTGGTGTTTGTCAGCGAAATCACCAACCCCCTGCTGCAGACCCGCTGGTTCCTGCGGGAAATGGGCTCCTATCACACTTTCCTGGGAAAAGTGGTGGATTTCCTCTTCGTGCTSCTGTTCCTGGTGCTGCGGATCGCGGGAGGAGCGTGGATCATGTATGGGATGGTGACGTCCCCCGAGCCCAACTGGCTGCTCAAGGCTGGGGGTCTGGCCATGTACGTGGTGTCCTTGGGGTTCATGGTTGAAATTTGTCGTTTTGTAAGGAGGAAAATGTGGAAAAAAACTCCTTCTCCGGACACGCGGTCTTTGCAGGAGTAGGAATTTACCTGTGGGAATTTCTTGGCTGCTCGTTAATGGGTTGTGGAGGACAATCCCCTGGGTTTGGGGCCTGGCTGCTGGAGCTTGTACCTGTGAAAAGAACTCCTGAAATAACATGGAATYGCCTTTCTGCTGCCCCTGGAGGAGATGGATCAGCACTAGGAACGTGCAAAGGTTGAGAGAAGAGGGATTTGAGTGCAAACCCAAGGAACCTGACACTGATCTGCTGTTTTCTCCAGCCATGGCACARTCTCAAGGAGGGTGGCAATGCCAGACCCCATCACAGTTTGTATGYTCTGTCCTCCTTTCCAAGGTACATTTGACAGAGTAGAGAACATCAAATATGAAAAATCCCATTTTCCTGSTAAYGGCACTGGGTAAGGGGTGTGASCTGGCAAGGATTTCCTGAGCCTTGSTCTCCTTARYCCTGGATTTGGACAATGTGCTTGAGTGAAAGCCTCTGACCAAGACTGGAGTGTAGCAGAGCTGTCCTTTGAGAGCGTGAGGTGATGGCACTGAGGTGAGGCAATGTTTTACCTCGCTGTTTTTAATGACACATTTCCTTTGTTTTTTTTTAGTTTTAAATTCTCGCATTCAGGCAGGTGCTGATCTCAGAGCAGAGTGATTTCACTGCGATTGACTCAGAGTCATGAATTAGATTTAATAAACTCTGTGAGTAGGTGCTGTCCTAGCCTTGGATTGCTTAAAAGGAGTAATCAGGCWTTTTGAGGGAGAGAGAGGATGRAGRAGAGCCCYCCAGATGTTCTTTCACTCCTGGRGGTGGCTCATTTTCAAGCTGAATTCATGGCTAACGAGTCAAATCTCARTTTCCAGGGGTGCCAGCAATGGCAGATCTCAGCACGACATCTGCTCCACACCAGCAGGCCTCAGAGCATGGAACAGTTCTCTCCTTTTCTTTACCTCTCAGAATCGAGTTCTGACATTTTCCCTGGGGTTTTAATGTGAATTTCCCTCTGTTTAAGGCCACAGTTTAGATTTAGTCTCCTGAGAGCTGAGAAATAACTGCAGGGGTGAGGGAGGGGAGCAGTGGGGACGCAGCTCCTCCTCTCCCCTTATCTCCCTSACTTTTGCTCTGCTCAGGGCAGATATCAGCCTTCAGCTGGGGCACCTCAAGGTGCCTGGAGAGATGAAAAAACAGCTTGAAATAACCTCCCTTTGGACACATCCTGTGAAAGCTTTGCAGCTCTGAAGCCAGGAGAGCTCCTGGGCCAGTATTTTCAGGAAAGCAGGAGCCTTTTTCCTCCTGCTGSGCTGCCAGAGTGATCTCCTGAGGTGTGGGCACCTGCCAGGGTCACTGTGCTCTTCCAAAAACTCCTCTGAGTGATGGMACTCCTAATAAAGTCATGTTCTCTTTATAAAAAGAAATGATTGCTGTGATGTTCTTTCGTTCTGGGCCTTGAGGCAGCAGCTGAGAGGGCAAAGGGGCTGGAGGGGAGGCTGAGGATGCTGAGCCACTCATCCCCTTTGTGCAGTTTGGAAAGGAGTGAGCTGCTGAGGATTTTTAATGCAGTGCCTGCTTTTTATCTGTCAGATATCCCTGAGGGCTTCTACAGCCGCAAAAACTGARTTTTACTAACAGCCTGTTGAACTCCCAGGCTTCCAGTTTTTGTTAATTCCCAGATTATTTATGGACAAGGAGTTTCCCAGTGCGGAGAAGATAACAAACACATTTTGTGGTGCTTTTCAGTGTGCACACAACTGTTTGCAGAGGTTCCTGCCCTGAGCTGTTTTGCTGAACTCTGTTCATCTGCAGCCCATTGAAATGGCTGACTCTGCACAAAGCAAACAGGAAAATTGGTGCATAAAGCTGCACCTCACTTCTGGTACAATCCACGGGGAGGGGGTTTAACCTGCCACCTTGCATGTGGAAGGCAGGAGAGAGAACGTCGGCAGTGAGAGGAGATTGCTGGGCTTTGCTGCCCGAGCAGAGAGGATGGATGGAGGGGATGGGGCAGGGCTGGGAGCTCTCCCAGCCTGCTGAAGCTGCGTTCTCCATTCTGGGGGAGGTTTTCTTGGACCCGCTGCTGGCAGCTCCGCAGAAGGGTTTGCGC